GCAGTGCCACTGAGCTAAATCCCCGGCCTCTTTTTAACTCTCCTTTAAATCAAGCCCTTCATCTTCCTTTGTTTTATGACACCCTGTTCTCTTCCTCCACAGTACTTATTACAAACACACAATTATTTACATGTGTTCACTTGTTTATGTCTACTCCCTACCAGGCCAAGCTGCCCAAAAGCCAGATCATGCCCATCTTTTCCACCACTACTTACAACGCATATACCCAGCACCGGTAGGTGTTAAGAAATAGTTATGAGAAGAGCTGGGTGTAGTGGTGCATGCCTGTAATCCCAGCACCTGGGAGGCTGAGGCAGGAGGATCGCTGTGAGTTGAGACCAGCCTGAGCTACATAATAAGTTCCAGGTCAGGCTCAACTACATAGTGAGACCCTATCTCAAAAAACCAAAAACGAAAAAAAAAAAAGAAATAATTATTAAAAGAACAGAGGAACTTTAGAGACAAAAAGGTGGAGGGGAACAGTTGGAATTTCCTCCCTGATAACTGAATGCCTCACAGTGGAATCATAAGCAGGATCACCTGCAAAGCAAGGCACAAGAGAACATCTTCCACATCACTGGATGACGCCTGTGATGTGCTCTCTCCTCTTGGTCATTCTGTTCCACTGCCAGCTCGAGGTAGCAGGTTGTTTATTCCAGACCTGATTTGGTCCTGAGCCCTGAGCTGTTCTCTACACAAGTGTGGGAGGGGCTGCGGCTACCTAAGAGTGGGAGGGTTACCAGTATTATCTTTACAGGAAATTCCAAGAAAGAAAAAACTTCACTGGTCACAACTTTGCTTAAATTTCCAACCTGTTACAAAAAGCCTAAAAGTGTACAACAAGTCTAAAGGTATAAACACAAACTCTGATTGTTTCTCATTTCTAAATTTTAGGGATTTTTGGAGGGAGATACTGGGGTTCCAACTTAGGACCTTTTGCTTGCAAGGGGCCAATGAGCAGCAGGACCACTGAGCTAAATCCACTGAGCTAAATCCCTGGCTGTTTTGTTTTGTTTTTGTTTTTTAGACAGGGTCTCACTATGTAGCTCAGGCTGCCCTTGAACTCACTGTGTAGCCCAGTCTGGCCTTGAACTTGCAGCATCCCCACATGTAACTCTCCTAGAAACTTTTTTTTTTCTCTCTTCAGTACCAGGTATTTAGGGGCTCACATTTGCGAGGCAGGTGCTGTGCCACTGAGCTACATCCCTGACCCTAGAAAACGTTCATTAAAAAGATTTATTTCTTTTTACTAAATCAAAAATTTCCACTGATAACTTATTTTAGCACTTTACTATACTTAAAATCCTTTAGAATGTCCAAACCCTTTCACATGCAACCAAATTCCCTCTTGAGTCTTCAAGAGATTAAGAAAATGACCATCAGTCACTCACACCCTCTCTATACCTGGAGGACTTCTACAATATTAAGTTTCATGATACTTAATTACCTTAAGGTCACCAGATCAAAGCTGTCTTTAAGAGATTATTTCCCAAAATTCTGCTGCTCTTAGTATCTTCAGAAAAAAAAAAAATTTAAATCCATCTAGGATCCCAAACTACACAAGACTAAAGAGGCAGCTGGGCAAAGGATCCTGCATTTCGGTCACCTGACTGAATATCATACAGTCCTGTTTGTACAGTGGTCATGGTACTTAATTGATTCCCACTTAGCCAAGATCCACTGAGACCCCAGGGCTTTAACAGATGTACAAGAGCAAGAGCAATTTATTTCAAAAAAATTTTTATTAAGCCAAAGGCCACAAACCCTTCCCTAGTAAATGTACACCATCAGCCCATTTGGTGTTTTAAAGGTATGTGTCATCACACCAAAATTGAGTTCAGCAAATCTGGAGTCATGATAAAAAGCACATTCACTTGACTCCAAATGAATCCGATGGGGGCTTATCAAGAAAATAAATAGAAATACAATTGATGTGTGGAGGGGATATTAGGGAATTAAACCCGAACCTTTACACCAAGCTAACCTTTTCATCTTGAGACAAGTTCTTGTTAAGTCACTGAGCTGCCCAGCCTGGGCTCAAACTCTCGATCCTCTTGCTTCAGACCCCCAGGCATGAGCCCCACCTGGCACACAGTTGGCTCTTAATGCACTAATGTCTCTTGTGTTTCTGCATCTGAACCTACGACTAAAGTCATGCTCTACTGAAGCAACTCCTTTGCTAGAGATTAAAACACAGACAAACATACCCACCCACACATATGTGCCTGCATGCTCACAATCGATAGAACAAGATTTTAGCTTTTGTTTTCTTTCTGGTTTTTAATGTTTAAGGTGGAGTCAACTATTAATAACTAGTTCAAATGACTTTCCTAGCCCAACCAGTTTCTTTGTTAACTTTCCACCTCTCAGTGTATATCTTGTTCTCCAAATCTCAGCTATCTTGGGCACACTGGTAATACACCGTAACATCAGACAGGCTTACTTTGTTTGTTTAGTTATTTACTTATTTTCTGTAATGGGAATCAAACTCAGGGCCTGTGCTTGCCAGGCAGGCAGGGTGCCACTGAGCTAAATCACCGGCCCTAGACAGGCTTAGTTTGAATGGGTTCCCCCAGCACCTTGGAAAGTCCCAGCAAGTGGTAGATGGAAAGCTTGCAATTTCACCCACTGGTACAGAAGCAAAGAAGCCTTCTGCTGCACTTATAAAAATCTATTAACTAAGCATCATTTTCCTGCAAGTCAATCCTGTGACTAAGTGGTAATCAGCTCATGTAATACGAATAGGAGCAGTCACGTACATTTAGAATTACCTTGGAGAAGATGAGAAAAATGCAGATGCAGAGACTGAGTCCCACCTGAAAGAAGCTCAGGAGGTTTTCACCTCTCACACAGCAGTAAAAAATCTTCGGAATCTTTACATTCAGAACCCAGAAATACCTCGAACATATTAATTAAGTCGGCAATATGCTCCGTCTATAAATGGGTCAACTGAGGTGTTTAGAGAAAGAGTAACACAACAGTGAATCAGGACCACAGTGGGCACTGGACCCAGCGCTCTGGAACGCCCATCTCTGACAGGAAGATGCGACCCATTTTTCAAAGGGATGAAATGTCTACACGCACAGCAGATGACAGAGATGGGAGTGAATATCCACACACCTTGGGATGGGGCAAGAGGAAGAACAGCCATCAGCCAACGACCCCAGGCCTCAAACGTCATTTAATCAGATGGCAAATTAGCATTGCTTCAGACCCCCACAGCAAAGACACTGCTCACCTTCTGGCTCCTAAGTTGATGCTATCAGACACCCCATCATCTTCACATCAAGGCTCTCTATTCTTTTTTTTTTTTAATCTGATTTGAATTCAGAAATGCCTATGCATCTTCAGCCAGATAAGTGAATCAGATATTACACTTGCAAGCATGCATGCTGAAACTGAACCCACCCTAAAGTAAAGAGCCTGGTAACTACAACCCCTCTGGCTTTTCCTGTCTTCCTCACAAGTAAAAATTCAAATAGTCTGTATATGTAAAATACACAAAGAAATGAGTGTGCTTCATGAACTTCAAGGACTAGGTGCTACCACAACTGCTGGCATACTGAAGGTCAAGCAAAAGAACCAATTAGGCTAACCAAGGCTACCTTTCCTATAAGATAAACACACTGAAATGTTTCATGGGGCTAAGCCCTGCCCTTTACAAACACCTGTGAAAGAGAACCAATAAATCAGTAACACTGGGGTGCACTGAGCTTTGCCCAGCTCTCCCACTGGAAGCTACCCACACAGACATTCCTCCTCTGGGAAGCAACAGGTGAGCCACCATCCACCAGGAATAGGACCAGCACAGCAGCTAACAAACTCCAAAGAGAAGCAAGCTCTGATCAGCCAAGGGCAGTCCCTGGAGCCATCCATCACTGGGATTCCTAATTTGGGACCCAGGGCAAACACCAAACTTTCTAACATTCTTTTTGGAGGAGCAAATTCTTGTCACCAAGCTCTAAGGAGGCGGGGGTGGGGTGGCAGTGGGCATTCCCCATGCGTGGCTGTCCTGGGGTTAGCTGCTAGGTCCTGGGGGTATCGAGGGGGTTTTACTTATCCAGCTAATCTTCCCTATGCCCTGGCCCAGTGGTTCTCAGCTCAGTGTCCCGTTCGGTGAAACACCCAAGAGCTTTCCACTGAATTCATGCGTGTAGCAGATACAGTGCCTGCCCACATATAGTTTCAATTCATTAAAAATTCATTCAGTGTTGAGTGAGTGCTGAGCGCTGAGAAGGGTCCTGCAGATTCAAAACCGCCTCCGATTTCCCAAAAGCCCCGGCAGTGGGAGAGCCGGGCGCGAGGTTGGAGCTGGGTGCCCTCCCCGGCCCGCCCGTACTCACTGAGTCTTTTTGCGGCCCTGGTCCCGGTGCAGCTCCCGCAGGTCCACCTCGGCGCGGCCCAGGAACTTGTCGAGGCCGAGCAGCGCGCGGTGCAGCACGGTGAGTTG